GTTGACCAGCGAAATCTGCACTGCGTACTAGTGAAGATTACTTGTGAAGATTTCGCTGGTCGTAGTACGCACTACTGCTGTAGTACACATCACGCCACATCGACCTGCAAGGTACTACACCGAGATCGATGACCAAAACAAGAAATAAACTACCGTGATAACATAAAAAAATCGCTAAATACTTAGTAGGTTATAAGAAGTACGATTAGAAGCGTATTGCAGCAATTTGACACCACCAGTTGAAACAACCGATCCATTGTCTTAAGACTTTGCCCCGAGTATCTCCTGCCACAATCACGGCTATCAGCTGCAAGACATAGATCCTAGTTGCATCACGGCATTGGGGTATTGAGCAGGCCTTGGGCGACGGACTGGGCCTTTTCGTGTCCACAAAGAAGCTCCACGAGTTTGACGCCCATGGCCATGGCAGTCCCCGGTCCTTGACTGGTTACGCACTTGCCATTCACAACGACGTTCTCAAGCTTGAAGTCCACGCCTGTCATCTTTGGCTCGAAGCTAGGGTAGCTGGTAGCCGCACCAGGGGGCAATAGGCCGTGCGTATGCAGCACAACAGCCGGAGCTGCACAGATAGCACCGTATAACTTCCCGTCCTCCTTCTGCTTCTGCAGTAGCGCCACTACCTCCTTCGAGTCGCGGAGATGCTCGGCGCCTGGCATGCCCTGCAATAGTAGCCAGTAAAAAAAGAATACCATTATAATTTACTATCATGCCAGATAAAGTTGAATGAAGTGACGTACTCCAGGGATCACAACAAGGTCGTAGCTCTTGCCGGCGCACGCCTCGATGGCTGCATCACCTTGTACCTTGACGCCGCGCGACATGGTAACAATGTTGTTTGGCTTGCTGCCGACAGTGGCCAGAGTCACCTGGACGCCGCCGCGGGTAAGCACGTCAGCCAGCGTGATGGCTTCGATCTCTTCCGAGCCGTCGGCCTTTTCAGCAGCATTTTCAATTGGTAAATACTTGAAGAACGGCGAGGGGAATGGAATCATTCAGTTGTTGAGCGTACAATGGGAATCAGAGCAGTGGTCATTCTGGTGGAGAGATGGCGAGCGCTGGTGCGGGGGTGAAGTTGCTGCGCGAGTCGAGTAAGGCGTCGCATTCACCAAGTGGGTTTTGCAAACGAGATGGTTTATGCAAGGATACATTACGCATTTTTAGCCAATCAGAGAAAGTACTGAAATGATGGGGGCATATTTGCGACGTGTGAGAATTTTGCTCTTACGTTAAATTAAAAAAAA